TAAATAACGAGAAATGAAACAAACAACTTATTCATCAATGTAAAATGAACTTTAAATGATTACTATAAGTTCCATAATGAAATACTAATGGTTGTAAATTGGAAAAACGTGTGTCATTATCTTATAGTCGACTGCAAAACACGAGGACCCGTTAGACCGCTACCGGACTCGCTCCATCTTCGCTTCGTTAACCTCGCTATCACGTCATCAGGACGATGACAATCTGAATTGAATTACGGGCTACCTGCGACGAATGTGTGGTCTCATAACCGATCTCGTAATCTCAAGTCGATCTCGCGACGCATGCGCTATCGAACCCGCCCGGTGGTCCCGCCTCATTACGTCGAACTTACGATGGATCTAAAGTCTCTTTGTCCCACTATTGTATGGCCAGTGAAAAATGTTCATCGAATGACAGGTGTCGATAAGAAAATCCCTAACGTTCTTTATGCTTCGCTCGTAAAACTTTGGCGCGAATGTGATGCTAGCAATTTCCTTGGTGATCAATCAAGAAAACCAGTTTCAGTGGTCTTGACCTGTAGAATCCGTACCGATTTCTTGCCTCGTCATCACAAAGGCCCTCGTTTTGAGATAACCTTCTAACGCCCTGTCAGTGACCCAAGGTAACGGATAATTATTGTAGAAAGCAACGTTGCGATATTCAATTTGAAATTTGAAAAGGTTGGTCGGTAAATTTTCGCTTAAAATCATACTAGGTGTGTTGCACGAACCCACTTGCACGGATCATGAGGATTAATAATACGGAAACATCGTTACACTAAGTAAAAAAAGATTGTGAGCAACAATGATCAATTTCTAGATGAGACGGGAGACTCTTTTGGTTTCTGGTTTGATTGGTTTTGAAGGATTCAACAAGCACGAGTATTAAGCCAAAGAGCTAAAGGATGTTAACATATTTGACAATAGTTTTCTCGGTTGTTAGTCAGAAGATACGTGAATGCGACTCCTGCTTCCTGCAGCTACTGCTACTAAATCCCAGTTACTCGTTATCCGTTCATAGAAACATTAGTAGTATCAAGACTACCCCTTAAAACAGTGGTGGAGTAGTTCTGACCACTTGACTCTCACTTCGAGAAAATATGCGAGTGACAGATTTGTGAGCTGTGCCCGAGTTTATGGTATCTGTAGCTGTACGTTTTTAAGCGTAAAGGAATTCTAATTTGAGGCTTGATTACTTTCTATCATTTGTCTACTTTTATTATTAAAATGCCTAACTAAATATAATGCCTATTTTTGTCGTGTTAGAATGACATGTTGCTGTTTTTCGGATAGTTAATTCATAATGTAGTTAGTACAAATCTTTTACTTGGCGTCTCAAAACCAGCACCGGCCGTATAGCAACAGATGCGTTGGGACCCTATCAATAAACACACAAAATAGAAGCCACTTCAAAGTTTCTTCACATAATTACATTTGTATTCGAATGAAAGAAAAAAACGCCAAAAGGAAATGCAACAATATAAGACTCTTGAAACTGTATAATCTCCGGATCGAATGCAAGACCACAAACAGATATTTAAAAGCTATAAAAATAAACGACTCTCATTAACATGAATTTCGGGGACCATTGTTGAAGTCCGAGATCCTGTCGTCTTAAAACCCGAGTAATGACAACACATTAGTAAAATGTCAAAACACATCAAAGGACACATGCCTTAAGGAGCGTGCAGGGATTCCTGTGTTATTAATTGAAGGCAATTTGTTAATCTTTTCATGCACCGCAAGTAGGGCTCTTCAAAAGCATTTCGCACTCGTGTAGCTTTTACCACAATAGGTAATCAAATTAAAATATTTTTTACTAAATACGTTTGAATCAATCTTGTGTATCGTACATATAAACTAAAAGTTTGTCTCTTAAAGCTGTAAGGCACAAAAAACTACCGAAGGCCGGTAGTTTATAAATACATTGTATTTAGTATACGGTTGAGTTAATCGTTGTTTTTAAACTATTGTTTAAAACTAATTAAAAAAGTGGCTTATTAAGAAAACTAATTAAAAAACTTGTTTTTGAATAATATAGTTCTAATTCACAATATAAATCATATTACAGCTTGAGGCTGTTTTTTTTTGGCATTCATAAGCAATACGAGCCTAGAGGCCACTTGGTGAATAGTTATCATGGCCTACCCCTCAAGACTCCTTTCAAACCTTGTTTTAACAAGGACAGTTTAAAGCGATAGTGCCACGAAGGGAAGTTCAGTCCAAAGCCGGATGGTGATCGACCAATAGATCTTGGAAACGTATTACGAAGACATTTATCAAATTACAAAATTCCTTAGAATACAGCTGACATGCCAAAATCTCATTTTAAACAATAAATGCAATGCAACTGAGAAACTATATTTAACAGAGGCTATCTTGACACCTGTGTTGAAATATCTAATTGTTTGTGAGCTTTGATAAATATTGTAAATTAGGCGATAATTAGGCTCATGTGTATTACTCTCTTCTTGTTCTCAACGAGTTCGCTTCAGTATAAACAGTAGGTAACCACGAGTATTTTCATTTTATTATGTCCGAATTAATTTCTTATTCGTTAGAGCTTTTTGAAAGATTACTGCTGGCCCGGAGGCCTTTCCAGTTTCACCAGGACAGGTGGGCGAGCAAAGGCTCAGCCAGGAGGGGTGGGATTTTCTAACAACTGCTCGAGCGCCTCCGAAGGAGAGCTATCAACTCAAAAGCAATTGCTACGCGAATGAATTTACTACCGGATTGGAATCGCGACCCGCTGAGAAGATTCGGCGAGAAACTCAGCAGGCTGATGCATGGGTTAGGTTAAGTTAGTCATCGCCTCTTTGTGGAGCTCGACGAGTACGGTTACCGGGGTCCCTAAGCCCGCTCCTAGTGTTAGACCTGAAGACGTGCACCACGAAGCAATGGTCATAATCACAAAGCACTAAAGTGTCATTAATATTTAAGTTTAACCAGACTACCGTCTAGAAAATTTCTATCAGCACCTACTCATTATATTTTGATTACGGCTATGCATTAAGCTTTGAAAACATTTGTTAAAAAAATAAACTTGAATGTTCTGTGGACAAATGAATACATACTCAAAATACTTCATAGTATAACGTAAAATTATGAAACCATTACTGCTTCGTAACAAATGGGAAGTACTTTTATTGTTTTCATTTGGACATCATACTAACTAAAATTGATGGTTCCATTCATCAAATTACAACAAATAATATCCCACTTTCCTAAAAGATCGTGTCTGGCATACCTACACATTGGTTGACATTTAGTGTGGACACAACGTATTAAAACCAAGACACAAGAACTCAAGAGACAAGAGCTCAACATTTGAAACATTCTACTGTAATGAAAATCGATAAGAATACTAACAAACTATTTGCTTACAAAAAGATTCTCATTGGCTCTTCAAACCTTATACTTATTTGGACATATGCTATACAACAAAACTCATGTAACGCTTGCTATTCCTATCTCAAAAATCCAAAGCATTATACGTTGTAACGAAATACACTCATAAAATAATAGAGGCTCAATTAAATAATTCTGAAAATAAATTACAGTGAATTGCCCAGCCATAGCAAATGGCTAAGCGAAAAGATCCTGGCCGCATAATAATATTATGTATAGCTTGCTTGCTTTCCGAGGTTATGCAGTGGATTACTAACAGATACTGCCAGAAGTACCTTCAGGATAGCTTGTTGTTCAGTGAGAAAGTACGGGTTTTGGTCAAGCTATATTCAGCTACCAACGTGAGTCTGCCTGCCTGAGTGAGCCTGCGAATGCCTAAGAACGCGAAACGAAACTGGGAATTCCTTCTATGAGGTCTACAATAAGACTGGTGGTAGGACCTCTTGGGAGTCCACACGGGTAGGTACCACCACCCTGCCTATTTCCGCCGTGAAGCAGTAATGCGTTTCGGTTCGAAGGGTGGGGTAGCCGTTGTAACTATACTGAGACCTCAGAACTTATATATCTAGGTGGGACTTAAACGAGTAAAGCATCAAAGTCGCCACTGCAGGCAATTATTGGTATGCCAATTCTATAGTGAAGGGTGCTTACAGATTTACATCTATGTAATTCGCGAAATGTAGGCCTTCAAAGTTAAAATCAGAGCATGATCCAAAAGAATGAAACTTGTGTCCGAGGTAAGTAGAAAGCTGTCCAAGTCAAATGAGAAGAATTGAATTTACTGTAATAAATCCTATTGAAGGAGCAGGCTTAGGACTTCACTGCGAAAATAGGTTAATTTATCATGACGTTGTAATTATATAGAGTAGGAACCAATGGAAATTTTCGAGATCATTTCGATTTTTAGATTCAAAATACCGGCGGAATCCAGTATCATAGTGAAAACGGAGGTAAATTCAAAATGGTTTCTTCAAAGTGGTTGGTGTTGGTCACGATTTTCTAACTGGTGAAACGGGCCTCAAAGGCCTTTTACGGTAAAAAGCACACGTTAAAGTTCGACTTGGCGTACGGCTTAATCTCTGAATGGCGATAATCCTGGTCTCATAAATTCTTTGGAAACTCTGCGCCTTCAGAAGTGACCTTAATTCTCTCTGTTTTGTGGAACCGAAAATGAATATCACGGTATCGTTCTGGCCACGGAGCATACGTCTCTGGAAAAACTCCTTCAATATTCCAAGAACGGTTCTTATATGTAACCTTTTAGCTCGAAATTGACTCAACTACGAGTAAATAGCCAATATGCCTATAAACAATGCCAAAGTTTTGACATTTTTGACGGTTTATTTTGATCTGATATACATACCTCGATGAAATAGAAACAGTTGCTAACGTTTTGAAGAATTTTAATCAATTTCCAACAGAAAATTTGCCTTTTTTGGCGGTGACGATTATTTTGGGTGGGTACCTAGAATGACATTTCTAGATTCATACAGAGGCCTCATGTTTAGCTTTTTACCGCCTTGTATATAAACCTGATTTAATCTTAAAAAAACACACACTATTGCCAATTACCAAAATGTCTGGAAACTTACACGCTCCAGCGACATGTATCTTCTTCATCCACGGATAAATAACCCTGTCAGTATTATCTGAACATATTGAGGAGTCGTCGTCTTCCACCGGCGGACTGTCTAATAATAATCTTTCTTCATCCAGCTCTGAAGAAGGAGAACCTTCTCGGCCTAAAGCATGAAGCTTTCTTCCCGCGGGTGCTGCTTCTTCAATATGTCTTTCTAACCTTAGACCGAGCTCAGCCAAGCCTGGGGCGCCATCAGAATTATGCGATGGTGCAAATCCATGGTCAGCATCAGATGGATGCGACGGCTCCGGAGGTCTAGGAGGTGGTGCCACAGGTGGATGCTGTGGAAGAGGATGGTAGTAACCTCCGTATCCATAGCTTGTTCCAATCTGCACCGGCGCATATTGGTGCTGATAGCCATATTGCAAATGCTGATGTTGGTAGTATTCTCCTGGTGGTATGTAGTCCGCTTGGCTGTATTCCTCGGAAGGTGGGAATTTGGGGTCCGGCTGCGGTTGGTAGCCGCCGTTCATCAGGAAGGAGCTCATTGTGGGCGTGGTCAGGTGCGCGCATCACCTCGCAGTCAACACGCCTGTTAATATGGCCGCCATTTCAACACATACTAGTTCTCGGGATTGTTATTATTTGTTTCACTTTATTAAACAGTCACGCTTACTAAAACTAGTCAAGTTAGCGAACAGAAGGATCAGTAGAGCAGTCAAAGTAAACACATTCGGTGTGCCGTTCAAATATGATGCTTAAAACGAAATAAGCCATCAGCATACCTTATGGCTTTAGTGTAGTATTCAGTGCTAGTAGGTATAATAAACAAAAACAATGAATTCAAACATTTTAAGTAAACTTCGCTAAGTAATCTGTACGAGGTTGACGTATAAGTTTACCTATGCACAATGCTATAAAATAAATTGAATTTGATAGTGTACTCGATAACGAATGAATTTAAATAGAAAATATTTAGTGAGATTTGCTTCAATATTTACAAAGGTTTTAAAGTACCAAGTAAATTCTTAATTTTTGCACATCAAATATCATTGAACTGCTGCCACTGATCACTCCGTCACTATAAAACTACAAATTAATTAATTTATCGACCTCACTAATAACTTAAGTTCACTCAGTTTTTAACGTCACTTCACACCGTGTTCCGTCAAAGTATTTTACTTAATACAACATTATTGCATAGTCACTTGATTTATCACTTTTTGATAATAAACAATGGCTCTATGGCGCGCTATCCTGCAACGACATTTTAGACAATATACACTGCCCGACACGCCAGCGCACTCTGTCACTTTAAGGACTCCTATACATGTTCATCAATTTTTACATACCACCTTCCATTTTTAAGGCGGAGCTGTTCTTCTGCGCTCTTGTTAAAACGCGCTCTATGAAATTCAACTTTATGTCCGTAAGCACAGGGACGATGTTGATTTTGGTGTGTATTGAAAAGCTTAAAACTGCAACGACTATGTTCCCCTTCCGTCTTATGTATTGTTGTATCGGTGTGAGTGGAACAGCTGCGCGGTCGGTTTTTGAGGGCTCAGCTGTTTTGATACAGCCATCTTCTTTTCTCTTGTAAGCTTTTGTATAAGTAAGAAGAGTACGTGAAGAACAATCTTGTGGCGTATTTTAAGAAGCTTAATAATAATACAAACTGAGCACGGTCTCTGTTTAACGACACTCGCATTTTTTAATATTTAATAAGCAATATCCTATATTTCCATTTTAGTATTCATTATTTTAATGGATCCAGAGTGAGATATAATTAGGAGTAAATTAATAGTTTTTAATACCACCGTATCAGAACATCAAACGGTATCTTCCATAATATTACGAGGTTAATATTAATGGTCCAATAATTACCATATCATATTATAATTAAATTTGTATGTAGTTTTAGAATTTTTTTTCTACGATATTTGAGTGGCGACTTTAAATTTGTCTAGTAGCTAGTGATCCTGAGTAACTATATTATTGAGTTCAGTTTTAATTCTCAGTAACTATTTTAGGTTCTTTAAATTTGAAATTTTAATCTGATGTTCTAAAGTAAGCTTAAAATTTTTAATTAGTTCCACAATGTACTGTTTCTGGTGCTATTTTTAAGTAATGTACTCGTACAATCTGATAACTACAACTTGTGACGCGGGAAAGTTAAGGATTGAAGTTTCTATGTTGTCTATGTTCTATGTTGCCTGTTCGAAGAAATCGATTTCCGAAGGAAAAAAAAACCTTTTTTTTTATTTGTTCGATGTTCAAATTTATACTCACTCAACACAGCTTAATGAAATGAAGATTTGTTGAAAATTATCTATTTTTATGCGAGTATCGGACATATTACAATTTATTTCATGTCACAATATTCTTAATTTTAACCATTGTATAACTGTAGCTTAGTATAACTTAACCTCTGTGGATTGTTAATCATTGATAGAATGTACTACATTATGATGGTGTAACTATTTTAGGAGTATAATAGGAGGAGAAGGAGACTGTGAGCTGCACATCTAAAGAAAAAACTACTGCCTCCAAGCTCTGCTCCCGCTGCTTCCCCAATACCAATCCAAAGTAGTAAGGTAGTGAGGTAGTAAGGGGCAAGTGATATTTTGCTTTAGTAATATGAACCAGGACAGGTCAATACCATCGTGCCTATTTAGGCGAAGCGATACTCATAGCAATCACGCATCAAGGGCATGACATCCGTAATTTCAACTCAACTCTGACTTCAATATGATATCTGAAGTAACGAACCAATGGCAATTTCTGTGGCGAAGCAGTTATTGTTTTCCTTTTAATTGAATAGCCGTTATACAATTGAAAATTCGAGCCAACGCTTAAGATTGGTGTCATTATTTACGTTATTACCTATTAGTAACTATTTAACGTCGTAGTGGTTAAACTCGTTCAACTTCTTCTTCTGCTTCTTCTTGCTCTTATCCAACATTATATGGGATCGGCGCAGCATATCCCGCAACATAGGCATTTGGCATGAGTTTTACAACCAGCCACTTGCCTGGCGTTAACTCTCCTTCCGTTATATCTCCATAAATACTTTGCAATATATCGTAGGGAGAGACTCATTCTGTTTCTTCCTATGTTGTTTTATTTACTTCTTCAATTTAAGGTTTCATTTGGTTATTATAAAGGTTTAAACGAAAATTTATATAGAAAATTTATCAAGCATCAAAATGATAAAAATATCACATTTCCTTCGCTTATCTGGATTTTCATTAAATTGTCATAAATTCATGTAATTCATAATAAGTTCATCAATTACAGAACCAATAAAAGAAACAAGATGTAACTTCTAACAACCTACAAGATATATCTTCTAAAAGTTAAGAAAGCCAAAAGCGCCCTGTAATCCATATGGTAACTTCACTCAATCCATACAAAAACAAATGCCTTACTCACGGCTCATCCTATCATACAGAATAAGCCTCTACTTACCAAAGAAGCCGACAAATAAACAAAAATGTCCGGTGATTTTATTGAATTAGACGATCACAATGGTCCGGTCAAATTCTGCTGAGTCAGGACAGGCAGCGGCTTCCAGCGGCTGCAGCCACAAAAGGTGGCAACACTCACTGAATAGATGTTTGATCAATAAATAGACGGATATTTAGGTGTATGAACCATTTGATTTTCGATAATTTTGAAAGGTTTGACTTTGAATTTTTGTAGAAAAATTTGGACGGTACACAATTTGAGTATACGGGTATTCAAATATCGACGAATAACGTTTTAGTTGTCCATGATCACGAAAAGAGTGAGCTGCCAAAAATAAAAGAAATAAGAAGTTTAAACGCAAGATTAAACCGTAAAATTGGTTTACATTAATTTGGAGTGTGTAATGCCACCCCATGTATGGCAATGGCAATGGCAAATGTATGTATAATAAAGCTGAGATCCGAATTCATGTCTCAAGTTTTGGGTGACAGTATTCATGTGTGTGTCTATGAATCTATGCCTCCTCTATCCAAATAAAGGAATAAATATAGATCAATAGTAAGCTAAAAAACTAGAACAACTAAATTCAACTAACTATATACTATTTCATAAGAGGAAAGAACATTTCTTTAGAAAATGCATCACTTTCTAAAGTTTTAGTTATCTTAGCTACAATCAACACATTTGAGTTAAATATCTAGGAATTATAAATGAGATAAGTTAATTCTGTAAGTTTAGTAAAAAGCAGAGGTTCAGCAAAATATTTATTTTATTTTTATTGCTTAAATGGGTTGATGATCTCACGGCCTACCTGGTGATAAGTGGTTACTAGAGCCCAACAACGTAAATACGCCACCCACCTTGAGATATAAGTTCTAAGGTCTCAGGTATAGTAACAACGGCTGTCTCACCCTTCAAGTTGAAACGCATTACTGTTTCACGGCAGAAATAGGCAGAGTGGTGGTACCTACCCGCGCGGACTCACAAGAGGTCCTACCACCAGTAATTACGCGTTATGGTACTCGTAAAAAAATATTTTGAAGAATAATTCATAACATCGAGAGAAACGACATTTGGAACTTCATGTTTCTGTTTCTTTTGTTATCTATATATTAATACGTGAAGCAAAAACTTTGTATCCCTTTTTACGAAAATTGCGCGGACGGAGGAGTATGAAATTTTCCACACTTATAGAGAATATAGAGAAGAAGTGCACAATGCTAATATTTTTTAAAATAATGCATAAAAGATTAAATCAATAAAGAAAACATTACCCACACCACATACCATGTATTTGACGCACACACGCATGCATACTATTTATTGTCAAACTTTTGTTCTTGACGTCTGTGGTCAAACTGAGAATAGATTAAATTTTGTTTGTCTTTATGAATATTTTTTTATAGTGTAGCCTTGGCGAAATATGTGATTATAGTATGTGTACAAACTTACAATTCCAATTAATTATAGTCGAATTTCGACTACTGTGGGACCTCTAGTTGAATTAATAGAGTAAGGTTTTGTGTTCTATAAATGAATTATTATAATAAGTATGTATCAAATGAGGTTGTCACCCGATGAAGTTGTTTCGAACTCAATTCGAGTTACACTCCCTCTGTAGTCGTTCTGTTTTGTTTTTTCTCTTGACGCTAACTGCCTGCCAGCTCCTTCCATCGAGCGCAAACTTAATCCAAGTTAAATGAACAATACGACAGGCCCTTAATCAAACTTTGGATTTCCGATTTTCTTGCCAAATAAATATCAACCTTACCTTACTACGTTTATGGTTAATGTTTTCAAATTTTACCGAAGAAGTTACGATGTTTGGAAATCAAAGTCTCGATCAGCAGAAAAACCTATTTAAGCGACTTGATCGTATTATTTGTTCTTTGTATTTCTGAAGATAGGGTACTTAAACAGAATATTATTGTTTTTTAAAATAATTTGGTATAAAATAATAGCTAGTAACTTTATCTTTCTCCCCTAAATTTACTATTGGAACGAACACTACTCTTTTCATTTTTGCATCGCGCTTTTAAGCCTTTATACATTATGGGCCCACTCATGTAGGCCAATTTAA